CACAAATATACACATTCTTAGTAATATTAGATGGGTTTAGATTGTTGTTTCCACATAGTTCAATCCATAATAAGCTCTTCGCCATATTCCGCAGTGGTTTAGGGAACGGATGATAACGGAGATTGCGACACCTTTTAGACTTTGAGGTGTTGTTGCAATCCTTGTAATAACACTTTGGCATTGTAATGCCTCCTATAATGAACAGAATCAATCATAATGTAACCTTCTTTTTACATAATACTTACTTGAGCAAGAAGGATTGTGTACAGTTTAGTTTTAAAAAAAACTGTTTGGTATAAAGGTTAAAGACAGGGTATTCAAAAAATGCAAAAGGAAATAAGGTGGAACGTGAAAGATAAATGGGAATATGCAATGAGAAAACTAGAAAAGGCCGCAGGAAATAATGATAAGACAGAAACGAATAAATGAGGTTATGCGAATGTTTTGTAAGGTTATATTAGGCATTTACGAAAATTAACCAGGTGCTTAACCGTTGTACCGTCAGCGTTCGAAATTGTAACAGGTTAGAATAAACCGCGTTTGGAAATAGTGACCAATGTACCCGGTGCACGTACCAGGTTAACGTTTTATCTACCATCTCAGTTTGGCGGTAAATGCGAGTAACCAACGCACATAACCTATCATTTCTTGTTGTTATTACCGCGTGTGGTGTCGTTTCGCAATTTCAGATGGAAAATCATACGTCAGGAGCTACTTGCTCTGTTTGCAGTTTTGAAGGTACTTATGCTGCAGTTGTGCAACACTTAGAAGTGGAACATCTCAATGACGAAGAAACAGAAGAAGTGGCTGCAGAAGGTATGCTATTTTAATTTAACTTGTGCAAATGATTACCTACAAACATAATAAATGTTTGCAGAAGAACCCACTAACAATGACTCCGGTTGTAAGTGGACAGAGCGGGGCGTAAAATTGTTATTAGAACTCTATCGCGAAAAGTTGGAAATGTTTAGATCATCAAAAAAAACCAACAAGTCAATTTGGGCTTTAATTGCGAAAACATTCTGTGAAAAAGGTATGTCAGTGACCGGAGACCAATGCGACTTAAAATTTCGAAATCTAAAGAAGACTTATAAACGAATCAAAGATTCTAATAGCAAGACTGGTAGAGGGACATATAGTTGGCCGTATTTTACCATATTCGAAGAAATGTTTGCAACAGATGCAGATGTTAATCCACTATGCATTGCAAGTAGTTCTTCAGGGGTCACACACTCTGACGATGTATCGGGAGAATCCTCACGTGCTTCAAGCCGGAGTGATGTAAGTAGTTTAACCTTCAGAATTACATAACTGAAACACTTTATTAGGATGTTGCAAGCAACACTCCCGCATCCTCAAAGAAAACGGAGTTCAGGTTCATCATTTAACAATGAACTAGAATGGTTAAAACGCTACAGGAGTGATGCTGCCACCAGGCATAAAGAAAAAATGAACTTATTACGTGAATTGATAAGTGCATTAAAAAAATAAAGTATGTATGTATGTAAATACAAACCCAGTCTACACAGTCACAGCACATGTATATAACTGTTACATAAAATTAATTATGTCAATGTTATCTGTTACATACCATGGAACTTACATGTGCTATTGTGGGACTACTCAATGTCAGCAACAAATCACTTGGAAAATCATGTACCTGCTACATTACTCTGGTATATCTCAGGTATAATACAAGGCGATATTTTTTACTTAAACACTTTCACATATTAATTACATCAGTATGTAACGTACTTGCGACATTGTAAAGTGCTGTCTACATTACATTCTCCCAAAACATTGCCTGCATATAATAGAATGATGTATTTGATATATACACAGGGTAATAAAATTCTATTTATCTCAAAAACGCATTTATTGGTCAAACATGTATGATATTATATGAACTAGTAAATAAAAGTGAGGACAAATAGATGAAAAAGTAAGTTTCATTTTTTTTCTCGCTGATAACGTTGGCGCGCATGCCGAAACCACTCTGACGAACAATTTTCTATAAGTTTTTGTTGAATGTTGTGTTGTCCAATGATTATTTCTAGAATAAAATTCTATTATTAACAACAAGAAAAACATTTCATGAAAGAAGACATGGTTATGTGAGGAATGATGCAAATAGATGCAGACAGTGCTTAAATTTAAGCCAAAAAATTGTCTTTTATTATGAAATATCTCATACAAGAATGAAAGCGCATTTTTTGCAAATTTAAGAAAAAAATTTTTTTTTTAATTACGTAGTGTCTCGCAAAGATAGATTTGTGCAATGCAAATGCCTTTAAAAAGTTTCAAACTTATTTTCCCAAAAATGTCCATATGCCTTATTGAATGGAAAAAACGCGCTCTTCATAATATTCAGAGATAAAAGATGAGACTACTCCTCCGATCATTATATTCGTTTTGGAGTAAACACATTCACAAACACACCAACACACTCATGGTCATCATTGCAAAAATACATTTTTCTGGATGTAAATAGCGTATCAATAGGTATATCATGAGCACTTTATGAAGGACAACTAATCATGATGAGAGTAGCAATGACCTTATTATTATTTCTAAGGGATTTAATGTAAATGCGCTATACAACATAAAAGGTTAAAGTTTGCTAAAATATTTACCTTTAACAGCAGCAATAATTTTTAAGTCTACCATACGCTTGTTATTTCGCTGGCCCAACCAGGAACAACCCATTCCCAATTCATTTGTAAACAGTATTTTATAAACTCGGTTTATATTATCTTTGTAATCATTTCCACCAATTGTAGTTAAAAATGTTTTCTGAAATAAACAATTATTAGCATTAAAATTATATATACAGGATTGTTTTTTTTTTTTTTTTTTTTTGTGTCAGGTGGGGAAATGCATTATGCACACTCCGGATGGAAAAATCCGGAGTAGTGTGGGACTCTCACCCACTAAAACCCCACCTGAGGCTTCGGCTTCTAGGGCCATTCGCCTTTATACATACTTTTACACAGAAAAAGATGACTATATAAGTACGATGGGACAGAAACGGATCTAGTTACATTTATTAACATACAAAACCAACAATTTAAAAATATCATAGATCATTTGCTATACCAATTCTTTGGATGAAGGCAAGAGTATTTTTACATTGCTCTTTGTTTTTAAAGTTATTTTCCCATGCAGGGTCGATATTAAAGAGCACACGTACATCTGTGTACTGCGGACAGACAGAAATAATATGATGTGGTGTTAAAATAACACCACATTGTTCGCATAGTGGCCGTTCTTCGCCCGCCAACAAATATCCATGAGTGAGGGCAGTATGCCCCAGCCGGAGTCTGTACAGCCTGATCAAGTTCAAACGCCCAACGTCGATATAAAATAGCGGATCCAGACTCTGTTTGATCTTCTTCAAAGCCGTATCAGTCTCCGACCACTGTTCACTCCACCGCTCATAAATTTTCGTCTTCACAAGTTCACGTCGTGCAATAGATGACATATTCGTAAAGTCAACGTTATCCAGTTGGAGATAGTTTAATACCTCTCTAGCTCTAACACCTAACGATCTACATCTATTTAGCCGAGCAATTGTAGTTGCATCAGTAAGTGATATAAAATTTGGATGTTTATCATCTATCCTTACTTTTATATAATAGTTTGCAGCAATCTGTTTCCGGCGTAGAGCTAGAGGGGGAATATTTGCCTCGACGTGGAGCGATGTTACCGGACTTGTTGGATATGCTCCCAAAGAGTAGCGAATGGCCAGGTTTTGAATCTTGTCAAGTTTCTCAAGCAAAGTATTACTGCCACATGTAGAGTACGCTGCACATCCATAATCCATCCTTGACAGGATGAGGGCCTTATAAATATCTAGGAGGGTCTTAGGGTGAGCTCCCCACCTATGATGAGCTAGAACTCTCATAATGTTCAGCGATTTTCTACATGTAGCCACAACATTCTCCAAATGCTTTGACCATCTTAATCCCCTATCAAAGGTAAGTCCGAGGAACTTGACTTCTTGGACAACACTGATTATACGATTGTTCATAAACAAAACGGGGTCATAGTGGGGCTTACGGAGTCGACAAAAGTGAACAACCTTTGTCTTCTCCTCCGACAGCACGTACCCGACAGCAATGGCGTTATGACAAATGATGTTAATTGCCGTTTGTAGGTTTCGAGTTATTGTGCCAACCGTCTTACCAGAACAACAAACCATTAAATCGTCTACGTATAAGCATTTATCAATTGAATCCTCAACACCTTTGGCTATTTCATTTATGGCGATGCCGAACAGGGAACAACTGAGTGTTGACCCCTGCGGCACACCATTTTCTAAAACATACTCTTTGGAGTTGATATCGCCGATTCTTACACAGAACTTCCTATCCTCTAAAAAGGATTTTATAAATTTAGGTAAATTCCCTCGAAGATTGTATTTATACATATTTTGCATTATTCCATATCTCCAAGTCATGTCATAAGCACCTTTTATATCGAAGAAGACCGCAACCAGATGTTCACCACTGTCAAATGCCCTCAGAATTCTGTCTGTCAGTTTGACCAGATGGTCTACCGTTGACCGTCCTTTCCGAAAACCAGTTTGGTAAGGCACGTATGCGTTATTGCTTTCGAGAAATGTTTGTAGCCGCACATTAACCATTTTTTCTAGCAGTTTTCCCAAGCAAGATGTCAAACTAATTGGGCGATAACTTTGTGCCTGCAACGGATCTTTTCCTGGTTTCGGTATAGGAATTACGATGGCTTGCTTCCATTCTGAGGGGTAGGTAGAATCATTCCAGCAGTTGTTGAAGAATCTTAAGATGGTATTTTTCATTTCAGAACTACAGTGGCGAAGCATCTGGTTATGGATAGCGTCTTCTCCCGGTGAACATGACTTGGTGTTACGGATTGCTGCCTCCAATTCTTCTACAGTAAAAGGTACGTTACAGTTCTGTATATCATCTGTGTTAAAGTCAATTAATACTGCTTCTTTTTCAGGTTTGGTATCTAGAATGGTGTTGGAATAGTTTGACGAGCTACTGACTTTATAGAACTGATCTGCAATTATGTTAGTTATGTCTTGCAGTTTATTGGTAATTATTCCATCGGATTTGCGCAAAAACACCGGATGACTGCAGCTGTTTTTTCCAGATATAGCTCCGACTTTCTTCCAGACATCATTACTGGTAGTCTCTGGTGTCATGGTTGTTACATAATGTTGCCATGAAATTCTTTGGGCTTCTAGTATTCCCCTACGACACTGAGATCTTCGTTTTTTGAACTCTACAAGATTCTCCAACGTAGGATTTCGACGAAATTTATTTAGAGCTTTTTTCTTTAATGCTATTTTTTCTTTGATTTCAGGTGACCACCACGGGACCATCTTTCGCCTATTGCCAGGTTTAGATTTAGATATGCTGGCGTCAGCAGCGTTTATGATGGAAGAGGTAATGGTTTTAACATTTAGATTGTCTTGATTAGGAGGGACGAGGACTTGTGTGAAGAGTTCCCAATTTGCTAATTGGATTTTATATTTAGCTATCGTTTTTATTGGAAGATTATGACCCCTGACTGTGATAATAATGGGAAAATGGTCACTATGATGTAGATCATCTTCCCCCTCCCATTTCAGGCTAGTATGTATACCTGGTGAACATACTGATACATCGATGGAGTCAAATGTGCCTGATCCTGCATTGAAAAATGTAGCGGAGCCATCATTTAGTAAGCTTAAGTTACTATTTTCAATCAGGTCCAACAATTCTTTCCCTCTAGCATCATTTGATCTGGAGCCCCAAACGGTGTTGTGGGAATTAAAATCCCCAACAAGAATAAATGGTGGTGGAAGCTGCCCAATAATTTTTCGAATTTCTTCGACATCATAATTTGTATTGGGAGTGTAAATATTACAAAGTGTACACGATCTACTAATTTCAAGTTTAACGGCTACAGCCTGGTAAGTTGTATCTAATTTAACTTGTTTATAAGGTGTTCCTTTGTGAATGAGAAATGCTACTCCTCCACAGGCTCTTGCAGGTGAGTAGAAATCCTTTCTAATTAAACTGAAATGTTTAACATTGTAGGTACTTTGTTCCAGGTTTTAAATGTGTTTCCTGAATGGCAACACACAATGGTGTGTGCCTTTGTATGAGTAGTTTTAGTTCATTTAAGTTGTTGGATAGTCCTCTACAATTCCATTGTATAATTTTTGTACCCCTTTCGAAGATTTTTGTATAAAAAGACAATCACGGTGAATAAATAACATAAATAAATAACAAATAACAATGTATATGGGACTATTACAAATAAAATGAACAGATAACTAGGATATCACAGATTGTATCACAAATTAATTGGTACAAGACCCTCTTGGCCCCGAATTGCGGGGTTTCCTGGGTTTGCCTTTCGGCCACCCTTTCCTCTTCCTCTGTTGCTTTGCCTCAGTAACTTTATCATCATCTACGGATGTGACACTCGATTCCCTAGATCGAGACAAAGCGGGAGACGTCTTACGTTTAGACCCCCGCGTCTCTGCGTCCATACCCTCTACCTCTGACGCCGTAGTAGGGTCCGAGAAATTAACGCTGTTCCCGGGAATTGATATGGGAACTTCTACAACAGTTGGGGGAGGTTGTACAATTAATCGGTTTGTGGTGAGTATTCTCATTAATGCCTCCATTTCTTCCTTAATTATTTTTCTAATTTCAGGACCGACAGGTTGTACGGGAACTGACGTTGGTACTGAAGCAACCTGTGCAAAAGATGTGCTGGGATTCACTGTCCCAACTTTCTTTTTTGCTTCCGAGTACGACAGCTTTTGTATCACCTTCACCTCCTGTATTTTCATTTCCATCTTGAACACTGGACATGTTTTAGTGACCGCCTTATGCGGCCCTTTGCAGTTTGGACATTCGATGGGTTCTCCGCAGGTAGTTCCTTCGTGTACAGGTTTTCCGCATACGCATCTCTTATCATGCTTACAATTTACAGCAGAATGTCCGAATCTTTGGCAATTAAAACATCTAAGTGGATTTGGTATATACGGACGCACCTGCAAGGGGTAAAACGCCGCTTGGATTGTCCGTGGTAATCTCGGGGTATTGAAGGTAAGTATATGGTTTGCAGTGTCTATAAACACTCCATCCCTCCTTGTCCTAATCCTCCTAACGTCCACTACACCTTGACTACTTAGATTATCTTTTATTTCCTCAATAGAGCAATTCAAAAGATCGCGACAGAAAACCACTCCCTTTGACGAGTTAAGCATCCCATGGGGTACTACCTCAACTTCAAAATCGCTAAATCGCGTACAGTTACAAAGTAATCTCGACTGCTTCTGTGATACAGTTTCAACCAAAAGATCTCCTTTCATCTTCTTAACGTCTTTTACTTGACCAACAATGCCATACAAAACCTTACTTATCAGGAAGGGACTTACAGATGTAAAATCGCCTTCCTTCCTTTTAATGACCAAGAACCGGGGCACTTCATCCACCTTCTCATTGGCCATGTATTCTCTTCCAGGAGCATTTACATGCGTCGAGGCCTGGTCGCCTGCCAACGACGCCGAGCAGCCGCTTAATATCGACCGGGTGAGGCCTGCCCGCTCCGCCTCGCTCCCTGCCGGCTCTGGGGACAATCCGAACCCCTGAGCAGTAAAATGTGGTCGCCCCGAAGGGCTTAAAAGTCTTTCCATTTTACAAAAAAAGGATTGCATTTTTATGCTACTGCCAGCAACTAATTCGGCCGCTCCTAACATGGAGAACAGACGCCGACCCAGCAGCCGCCCACTATGGAACAGACGCTACTGGGATTTTTACATGAAACAAAAGACAGAGGGACCAGAACCACCAAAAAAAACGATACAAACGACCTGGGACAGCTTCGCTTCACCACTGCTGGCAACAGTGGCTACTGAGCCCCCCCACCACGACAAGGTGCTTCC